TGTATGATAAAAAAGAGCTTAATTAATTGGCACTAATTGTTTTAGTCACTTTCTTACACAAAAAGCATTTATTTGCTCTTTTCATTGTCCTATATGACAATAGATTGAAAGTCTGTTGGTAAAGCTGAAAAATATAAAAATGTGTTAGAGTGGGTTTTGAGGAGGTTTTACGGAGTTTGTATTTTTCATTTTTGACATTTTATGGCCAAAATAGTTTTTATCCACTGATTAAATGAGAAAGTCATGTTTGCAGGTAGAACACATTACATGGGCTGTTTTAAGCACTGTCAAAACAGAAGAGAAAACCTGTAGTTCCACAGTCTTAGCTCTGCAAAGAGTTTTGTTTGTTTTGCAGCAGGACAAGTTTGAATGGACAAATTACAGGCTTTTTAATTGGCTGTCTTTATAGACAATTTGCATTGTGGCTAAATGCAAAAAGAAGCAATCTATCATCTGCCATACTTTATATTTTGGATGCTTGAATCATCAGAATGGAGTTAGAAGTTATCATAAGACAATATCACAGTTACAAGGGTGAACAATTTCACTTGGCCATCTCGATCAGTGCAATCATCCTGTCTTTCTGCTTCAGCCACTTTCTCTTTCACTCTTTCTGTCATGCCAATTTTCATGCAGACATTTTCAATTGAAATGCACAAAATAATAACACACTTCAAGACTTAGGAAATGTCTTCTCTGTTGATGCCAGAGTTTTCATTTGACTGGAAATCACCCAGCTGTAATGCTAATGTAATTATTGCTCTATTCACAGAAAAGCATACACACACATGCATGCACATGTGTAACCCCCCGCCCACACAACGAATAAAAAGTTTTTTCTGCCCCTCCATCACTTGCTGTTTCCATGATGGAGACACAGAAATGACGAGGTTTGGGATCAGGCAGAATCCAAATGCCCATTGAATTCTCTTATTTAATGCCTTGGTTTTTTCCTGAGACACGGGGCAGGCACGCCAGCTGCCTCGCACTCAGTCATACTCTATTAGGCCTTTACCTCCTGAAACCACAAGCACGCACGTGCAGATAAAGAGTTCATATTTGAGTTGACTCATACATTTTTACTTTTAAGATATTATTTGGGTATTTTTGTCTTTATTGATTGAACAGTGGATGTAACGTGTGAAATGAGGAGAGAGAATGGGGGAAGACACACAGAGGTTGGGTCAGAACTGAACCTACGGGTGCTGCCGGAGTTCTCCCGCCTCCATTTGCTGGGCCCCCGTGTTACTCTGTGATTAATGAAAACGTTTGACATGCACCAACTTTACATGGAATCAGTAAAATGCTGACGATGAGTCTTTGTGGAGCTTCTTCTCCTTCCTTTTATTGTGTTTCTGTCTCCTATCAAGATGTTCTCTGTTTGCTTGTGTGTTTGAAACAGCTTTCATGGGCAACAATGTTTTAACCTTAAAAGGCAACTGTTAATATGCTTTTGTGCATGTCTCCTCTCTGACTCTATTTTTGACTTAATCTGAGGTAGTTGGAGGCCATTACGCAACTAAAATATCAAGCTGTGTGCTTCTGTACACACTTGTCTATAAAAAAGACATCATTAGTGATGCGGTTACATTTGTCACAGCTTAAAGTTAATGTTGAAGGAGACCTCCCTCTATGCTGGAGTTTTTTTTTAATAACATATCCCAGCAAAGAGGGGGAGGAAACACTTTTGTGATTTCCAGTAAAATGAAAGATCCATCTTACATGACAGTAAATATTAACTCTCTTCCTGTGGGTTTGGAGTTTATAGTGGTTTATTACTATTATTTTGTGTTTTAACACTGACCTGTGAAATTACTATTGTATGTGGGACTATAGAATGTTCTTACTGTTTCCTAACCCCACAGAATTAACTCGGGTCGTGTTTATGTTAAAAAACCATTGTAGGCCAGTTTGTCCTTCAGTCCCAACTTACTTGTGTGTGTACATTAGTGTGTAAAACAAATTGTCTCCCATGGCAGTGGCGTGTGGGACATTATGTACATGCAACACACACACAAATGCATGGTCACAGAAGCAACCGTGTCCTAGTAAATGAGTTGAGGGGTTTGAAATGGAGGCACAGGGGCTTTCAGCCGTCTTCTATCATGGTTTCAAGAGACGCAGTGAAAAGACAGTTTATTACTTCTGGAGGACTGGGGCTTAGCTGGCATCCATGCCAAGTGTGTGGGAAAAAGAGTTGTGTGTGTGTGTATGGGGTTAGTCAGGTGGATGGATGCCCAGGCAGCTTATGTGAAAGTATTTTGTGTGTGTGTGTGTGAGTGTGTGTGAGAGCATATGTGCTGATGTTGTTTATGTGAGAACTAAGCACATTTGAGTTTGGCATCAGTGCAAGTAAAATTCATAGTGAGTGTAGTTAAGATTCTCATTTGAGGACAAGTAGAAAAGTAAAGTTTGTCTGTCTGTTGGATTCGGCTTTCACAGGAAATAATGTATTAACCTCTGCCCTCATGTTTCTGTACACGTCCCCCTCTCTGTCTCCATTACTGACACTATGTAAACCAGCATGTGTTGTATAGATATTCTCTGAGAATAAATGACAGTGAATACAGATATTTCATGATATTTGTAATTCATCATGAATAATCTAATGAAGATAAAAAGAGGCTTATCCTTGGTCTAGGGTTAAGGGAAGAATAAGGGGTTTGTGTGGTAGAGCAGGTTTTTCATGGTTATAAGTGTGCAGGAAATTGGAATGAAGGAAACACAAAAAAACATGGAGGAGAGTGAACGTGACACAGAACAGAGTAATTGTGAACAGATGGACTCTGTGCAACCAAGACAAAATGCGGAGCTGCTTCTGTTGCGTGGACGTGTTTGGGTTTGAAAAGTTTGACTCAAAACACTACTTACATCTTTTACTACCTACAGTATGTAAGAATCCTATCATGCATGTTGATTTCTGGATATTAAACTACTTCTATCAGGATATGAGATTTTGGTCACATCACACAGCTCAACACACAGGGGTGATTTAACATGTGGGGAAGATGGGATTCCTTCCAGCTTTCTTTTTGTGATGGCGTTCACTCGGTCAGCAAGAGTTTTGGATCAGGAGCTAAGTAAGTGGCCTAAACTGCTAATGTGCAGCTTCTGAATGCTAAAAAGTCAATTAGTATGTATATTTGGGTGCGTATGTGTGCCTGTGTTTAAAATGCTGAAATCTATAACGTAATTCAGTGTCAGGGACCTCTCAAATCAATGAACGTGGAATGCATTACAGAAACAGTTGCTCAACAGCATGTAATTAAACTGCTCTGTTTCAAATGCGTGTGTGTGTGTGTTAGAGTGTGTGAGTGTTTTTGTGTGTGTGTTGAATTTCCACACTTGGCTGTCTCTACTAATTTGTATGATCAAGGGAATGTATGCTTAGCGAATTAGAAGCCAACTCGGAGTTCTGTACTTCTATTTTCAAAATACGCCAATTCCCACATTATATTTACATTCATTTCAATACAGATTTAATATTCATGAACCAACCATAAGAAAGAAAAATCATTAATGTTAATTGAATAGGGACGCACAACACAGAATGAACTGTTGGAAGAGGGCCAAAGTGTTGTGTGCTGTTCTTATACTGAGTATTTATAACAGATGTGTAGGCTGGGTGGTGAATATGTATTACGCCCGCTGGCTATAGGACAGTCTTTTGTCGATTTAGAGTTGTCTTGGCAGAATGTTCCCAAAAGTGAAGTGGAAGTATAGTGTGAAAAGTTTGCTGCTTTTCACGCAGGTCATAGCTCACGTATCATAGCAAGATAAAACTAGTGAAAAATATTGTTTGTGATCATATCTGAGGAGAACAGCTTCTTTGTTGCAGTAATTTGCTGCTTTTATATCCATAAAATGTTGCTTTTTTATTCTATTGTGCACAAAGTTCACAAAAACATTCTTATATTCATATAAGAATATATATTATTATATATTATATATATATTTTTTTAGTTTTAGAAATGTTAAATCTGATTCTTAGTCTTCTGCTGAGGAATCCTTGCAGACAGCCGTTATATTGTGACTAAAGTTGGAGGTCTTCACATGCCTACATGGGTTCAGTTTTTTTTTTAGCCGTAGGGAAATTATCATAGACTGTATATAAAGATGGACGTAGTGTCCGTGACGTCACCCGTTGGTTTCTGTAGAGTGAAAATGAGGCTCGTAGTGGGCGTTTCACCCGGCGCCATCTTGCCGGGGCCTGACTCCTCCTAGTTCCGGGCTAACCCATAAATGGGCAAAAAGGCGGCGCGCGAGTGGACGCTAGGCGGGCCGAGTGAAGACTGACAACCGAGCCACGCCCACAGAGCTTATCGTTACCTGGTTAGCTCAGGCTAAGGAGCTAGGCTAAATGCTACCCGCGACTGCTAACCGGCTAGCGCTGCGGTGTTGTTGCTCCGGGATGGTCGCGGTCGTAACATCGAACCGAACAGAGGTAAGTTACCCTGAAACTTCACAAGAACAAAACCTATTGATTTATTTATTATTATAATCATACCACATATACTTACATTCCTCATGTGGTTTTTGATGTTATTGAGGTAATTTACTGTTTATTTAACACATCTAATGAAGTTTGAAGCAAGTTAACTAGCTTTAGTAAAGAGTTGTGTTTTGTCATTTGATTGTAATTTTAATAAGTTAATATTAATAAGCTGCATGTGATACAGACTTGTATAACCGCCATTACTATTACAACCTCTTTTTTTAGCCTGTTATGGATTCACAGTGAATTAGACTCAGTGCAGATGTGTAATTATATGACAGTTTAGATGTGATTATAATCTCCACACACCACTGTTGTAAACAGTACTCATATTTATTATATATGTATCTGTTTTAACACTGCGAGAAGTTGAGGGACTTGAAGTTATCACCAGCACTGTGAGAGATCATCACCCTTGAATATTACAGATGTGGTAGAAAGACATTTTATATATTTATACAATGTTTATTTCTTTTAGTACATCAGTTTGGCTGAAATCTGTGGTGCTTCCACCTGCTGAACACAGAATAAACTGTAAGTACCAGTCTTGGCTGCTTAACACAGCTGATATTACATGTGTCAAAATTATTGTAATTATTGTATTGTACAGTATCTGTAAATAATCATGTTTCTCCTCTGTTCCTTAATATCTACAGATGTGACAATGATTTTAGCATAAAACATCCTTTAACGTGACTTTTTTCATTTCATGAAGCACTGCAACACCTGATGTCCTCAGAATCCACTGTGGCAGCAGCAACATGGTGGAGATCGGCAGCTTCAGGCTGGTCAACATGATAATAATATTGAGTCAATTTCTATATCCATTATGGTTGGTAAAATTAACACTATCACAACAATGTTCATCTTTTACTTTCTGATTTAATAAACCTTAGATAAAAAGTGTTGTCTTTTCTTTTTTGACATAAGAGACAGAACACGGTCAGCACAGCTGTGTCCCTCAGGTTCGTCCGTCCCTAATAAAATGACAGGAAACATAAAAGTATGGCATTATTGCAGAGATACGTGTTACTTTCAAACAAAGTCTGTGTCCTTATATTCTGTGGATATTTAAGTATGTATCTGAATATGGTTTGGGATTAAACAGTGTACTACAATGAATGTGCAGTATGGAGTTATTTCACATTAAAAGTATTGCATATATAATGTAATGCATCATGTGCAATAATGTGCTTTAATTGTTAGTAAGTTATGAAAACAGGTCTATACCTGGTAGGTAAACTGTTCATTCATAAATAAAGTTCAGCTCAATAAGTTTCACACTGCAGCAGCTGCACTAACGTTATTTCTGAAACAATAATCTAATAAAACATTATTACTGAAGTTACTCACAGTGACGTAGTCAAGCCAAATAGGTTCGGGAGCTGAACAACTTTACATGACGTTAAATATCTAACTTGATGATATTCACTAAACACACAGTCGCCTTCAGTTTAAAAGATTTATCACCATGAACTCTAACGCTCCTCTCTCCGCTGTGTGGACGCTTCATGTCGGGTTAATAACTCCCGTCCCTCCCGTTAGCATCGCCGTTACTGCTGCTATCTTGCCTGGAGGTTAGCGGAGCTAAGCTAACCAGCCAGGTACAGACACAATGATACCTGCTCATCACTACTGACACGTGAATCAAAGACAGTACTTTACTCACCACAGACACTGCAGCACAGACGTCTTCCACTTCTCCGTCAGGACAATCAGCCGAACAACAGACGATGATGTTCACATGTGAGTGAAAACTCCTCCACAGACTCGTGCTCGGTGACGGTGATTAGCCTGTTAGCTCAGGTGAAGCCGAGCAGACCRCAGGCTAACAGCCAGAGTGACGAGCTAACGGTGACGTCACGTGTCAATCAAGTGATAATTATTCATAATTTCAAACCTCTGTATTATCGAAACGAGCGAGTTAGAAAAAAATTCACCCCCCCCAGAGTTGTCATGGAGGAAGAACTTACTGATTGAGACTAAAACCGTTTTTTGAACCAGGCTGTAAACACGTTTAATTCTGCTCTAAAGTCGGGCTTTTTAACATGGGAGTCAATGGGAATTGACTCCCTCTTGGAGCCAGCCTCAAGTGGCCACCCAGTGAACTGCAGTTATTTGCACTTCCGTATTGGCCTCAGCGCTCAGCCCGGGATGTTGCCGCTTGGAAATTATCTGGGGGTTGCTCCACCAGGTGAGCTAGCATATGCCCATGCACCATTGGGTCTGACCCGGTCCTTTGGCGCATGTGAACCCCATTGTCCCCATTTTACGCTTTAACTAACCTGTCAGTGTTGGTGAAATTAAAAAAGTTCTTAAAAAATATCTTTCTAGCAGAGGGATCGATCTTAACATTTAAATACAACTTGATCAAATGTAATCATGGAGACCCACATGTTCTAATGGCGTAGCATTCTTTTATACTGGAGTTACAGGTGGTGAAAAGCGTTGCAGCCTAACCCAGCATCTGCAGGGCAAGTGATTTTATGTCATTGATTCCCGGCCACATATTTACCAGAGGCAAAGGTCATGTTTGGCAAATAAAACCATTAAAGGGGAAATCCGCCCTAAAACTAAATTTGCATATGTTATTCCACAGCCCTAATTTTTCACTCTGTGACAGAAAGCACACCAGAGCTCCAAACACGGAGAGAGAGAGAGCTGAGGCTGCAATCTGTCACATTATAGAACATTCAAATGGCAAAAACTGAGCTGCTCCATTAATTATAGATTGGAGATTGGCTTCAGGAAACCATAAACACTACTCATTTGTCTGGTTTCTTCTTGTAGGAATCAGTCAAAAGTCTGATGTTGCCGTGTGGTCTGAAGTGTTTCCTTTATGCAGTACTTATAATGCAAGGAGCTCTTTGGCCGCACAACATGTAGTTTTAAATGAACTGACAGTGAAAGTGACTGACATTAAGGCCACACGCGTTTCCTTTTCATCCGGACATGACAGCAAGGTACAGTATAAACAATCTGAAATCTGCAGTGACCTTTTAGAGATGTTTACTAAAGGCAGTTTTTTAACACACACACACACACAGCTTGCTGCCTGAGGCTGGTTTCGTTACAATTTAGGGATTGGCATTTAATCCGTCAGTTCTGCGGGGCATTGGCCTACATTTTGGGGTTTACACAGACACAACGATTACATTACAGAGAGGGAGAGACACAGTGGCACACACTGAAAAGAGGGGAAAAGAAATGCATAGAGAGAGGGGTTACAGAGAGTGTAGCTGAATTCAGGTCTGATGATATGTTGGCCTCAGTGAGCTCAGGGCTCGGGCAGCCTCATACATCGACAAAATTGCACTTAGGCCTGGGCAATAAAACAACATCAATGATTATTATGATATAAATTTCATCAATAGCAATATAACAAATGTCCAATAGATATTGATATAATGCTTATGCATAGTGCAAACACATTGAGGTGGAATAACACTTAAATAATCCTCCTCACACATTGTAAAATGTTTTGCTGTTTATCATTCTCTGCTTTTAAAGAAGAGTTTAAAACCACAACCTTCATTTAATATATCTGTAAACCTAAAAGACATAATAATGTGACATTTATCGAGATAATTATCAATATCCACTGATGAACGGTTTTCATATATGATTTGGTCTGGAGGCAGTAGGAGTAAGGCGGAAGGCAAATGGTCAATTATTTTTTCAAAGGGCTCATTTTTTTCCTTTTTGAGTACTGTCATTTTGTTATTGATTGGATGTTTGTTTTTAATTTAGTTTATATTACATTTCCATTTTTTATGGTGACAAAACAAACTAGTTCACAGTTGAGCACGCTTGCCAACATCAGTTCTGTGTAAATGAATCATGCACAGAAGTAAAGCAGACCTCATGAGTCAGGTTATTAGCAGCTCACGTTTCTTCTGTTCTGTTGTGTCCAGCATTGCTTTTTCCAATTTAGTTTTCTTCTTCTGATGTTAAGTCAAAATGCCCTAATGTCACACAGGATTCAGTCAGTTCAGTCCCACATGTACAGAAACTGTTATAGATGTTGTCATGCCCTCTATCATTTGACATCTGTGTGATATTTCATAATCAATGTTGTTGCAAACAATAACTGTGTAACATATTATTCGCTAAACTACAACAGCCTTTTTAGAATGTTGGTTTGACTCACTGCCTAAGATGCAGCTATCTTTGACAATAAAGGCAGCTTCACCCAGATAATTCACCTGACCACAGTGCTAAAAGCTCTCCACCACAATGTTACATCCTCCTTATCCACCTCCAGCTTTGATGTAATTAGCATTAACATGAACCTGTAACAATACTTCTATAATAATCAGGTCAGGGTCCTGCATTCCAGACCAAGCAGACTTATCCCTTTAAAATCATTGAGCTGCTGTCAGGCTGGATTGTGCTCATTTTGTATCTGCTTAAACCTTAAGACATGTAACCTCAACAACAAACAGTCAGACCCAATTCTGTGCAAGTAAATCTGAAAGTGAAGTAAGGGTCTTACCTGTTTTAAGCTTGTTTATCAAAACAGGTGATAGGCAAAGCAGGCATCAGAAGGGATGAATGTAATGTGATGAAAGGCTAATAATGTTAAAATCCCTGCTCTTAACAGACTTGACGTTTATCAGCTTCTGTCGGATTTAAAAGACCAGATATAATGTCCTCTCATTTCTGCAGCCAGTCTTTTATACGGCTCTAGTAATGGAGTTTCAAGTCAGAGGTTATTATGCTATTATCGGCTCACCAGTGGGACAGAACATTAATATGGACATTGCATAGAGCAGCAGTTGAACACGGGAATCTTTGCACTGTCTGAACAAGCCATTAAAGTTACTGTGGGGAGGCCACCGCAATTTCATCCAAAAATACTCTTCAGAATTGATTACCTCTGCCAAGAGTGTTGTGTTTTCCTCTGCATTTTTGTTGGTTCGTTAGCAGGATTACACGGAAACTCAACTGATTTCTGTTCTATTTGGTGCAGGGGAGGGGGGTGAGGAAGAATCCAGGATGTTTTCTTTCACTTTTTAAAACTGTGAGATCGGGTGTTTTTCAACCTTAATGTTGAGTGCTCAGAATAACTAATGAAATAGTCAGACATACTTAATTGACTGTTATTAAAGTGTGTGAACTTTAGTGCAGATCCAAATAATATGGGTGAGGTCTACTTACTGCCTTTCTAGTGAATATATGTCCAAGACCTTCATGAGACACACATGTTTAAGTAAAATGTATTTTTTTTGTCATCAAATTAAATTTAAATTTTGGTCCTTCGCTGTGATTGTGATTTGAAGAACACAGCTCTAGGATAAGAAACACCCCTAATATACTGTGTGTCTTCAACTAGAATCCACTTGCACACAAAACATAGAAAATCATAGAAATGCTTTGAGCTAATCTCCTACACACTATTTTTAAATAAGCCTTGAAGAACTGTAAACACCAAACATGCAGACAGGACATTCGTTGCCTTCAGATGCAGTCAGATGGTGTCACTGATGGAGATAATTAGTCGACCAACAGACCTCTGGACCAGCACATCATCTGTTGTTTTATACTTGAGCCAATGTCTGAACATCAGTGGGCTTCTTCAGTTCATATATTCAGTGAATTATTGTATTATTCCATCCTATGCCACATTTATATGTGCATTTTTATGCTATATATATACACACAATGTGTGTTGTGTGTGTGTATCTGTGTCACTGAATTCTCCTCACAAACAACCTGTCACATCTGCTCTAGAAAGTGGGTTTGAATGCATGGCTCAGCACAGTATGGGTCTCTGTTATCCAAGCCTGAGTGTGTGTGTGTGTGTGTGTGTGCATCTGATTGTATATGGTGAAAATGTATGCCTGCTCACAGCATGGGACAAAAGGCCGGAGCCATCAACCTGTTAAACCTTCATGCTGGCTCCTGTTTCTGAATATCATCTCTGTTTAAATGCCACTGTTGTACAAAAAAT